GCAGGTTGTTCTTGATCTTCTTCTTCGTGAGGAAGACGAAATTGAGGTTTGGATTTGGGTAGAGAAGAAAACAAAGAGGAAGAGGAAGAACTAGGTTTTGAGGGCAAAGCTGTGGGTTTTGCAGGTTGTTCTTGATCTTCTTCTTCGTGAGGAAGACGAAATTGAGGTTTGGATTTGGGTAGAGAAGAAAACAAAGAGGAAGAGGAAGAACTAGGTTTTGAGGGCAAAGCTGTGGGTTTTGCAGGTTGTTCTTGATCTTCTTCTTCGTGAGGAAGACGAAATTGAGGTTTGGATTTGGGTAGAGAAGAAAACAAAGAGGAAGAGGAAGAACTAGGTTTTGAGGGCAAAGCTGTGGGTTTTGCAGGTTGTTCTTGATCTTCTTCTTCGTGAGGAAGACGAAATTGAGGTTTGGATTTGGGTAGAGAAGAAAACAAAGAGGAAGAGGAAGAACTAGGTTTTGAGGGCAAAGCTGTGGGTTTTGCAGGTTGTTCTTGATCTTCTTCTTCGTGAGGAAGACGAAATTGAGGTTTGGATTTGGGTAGAGAAGAAAACAAAGAGGAAGAGGAAGAACTAGGTTTTGAGGGCAAAGCTGTGGGTTTTGCAGGTTGTTCTTGATCTTCTTCTTCGTGAGGAAGACGAAATTGAGGTTTGGATTTGGGTAGAGAAGAAAACAAAGAGGAAGAGGAAGAACTAGGTTTTGAGGGCAAAGCTGTGGGTTTTGCAGGTTGTTCTTGATCTTCTTCTTCGTGAGGAAGACGAAATTGAGGTTTGGATTTGGGTAGAGAAGAAAACAAAGAGGAAGAGGAAGAACTAGGTTTTGAGGGCAAAGCTGTGGGTTTTGCAGGTTGTTCTTGATCTTCTTCTTCGTGAGGAAGACGAAATTGAGGTTTGGATTTGGGTAGAGAAGAAAACAAAGAGGAAGAGGAAGAACTAGGTTTTGAGGGCAAAGCTGTGGGTTTTGCAGGTTGTTCTTGATCTTCTTCTTCGTGAGGAAGACGAAATTGAGGTTTGGATTTGGGTAGAGAAGAAAACAAAGAGGAAGAGGAAGAACTAGGTTTTGAGGGCAAAGCTGTGGGTTTTGCAGGTTGTTCTTGATCTTCTTCTTCGTGAGGAAGACGAAATTGAGGTTTGGATTTGGGTAGAGAAGAAAACAAAGAGGAAGAGGAAGAACTAGGTTTTGAGGGCAAAGCTGTGGGTTTTGCAGGTTGTTCTTGATCTTCTTCTTCGTGAGGAAGACGAAATTGAGGTTTGGATTTGGGTAGAGAAGAAAACAAAGAGGAAGAGGAAGAACTGGGTTTCAGAGAGAGAGAGAGAGAACTAAATTTCAGAAAAAGTGTTATGTGGGCAATAAGTGGGCAATAAAAATGTATTTATAGGTGGTAGTTTTAAAAATTTTGGGGAGGTGTGGTATTTTGACAAAAAATTATAAAATTGGTGGCACTGAGGGTCATTACTCAATAATTTTTGCTTATGGGATCGGGGATTCGGAATGGATTTGACAAATGTGGTCCACCTTGGGTAGATACCGTCAGCTAGATAATACTCCGTCTGGTAGACTGTATTGTTGACTTGATAGGTAATATTGGGGCCTTGGCCGCTCAAAACATCGTTGAAGACCGGAGATTGACCTAGGACGTTGAGGTCATTTTGGGCTCCTGCAACTCCGAAGAAAGCATGCCAAACCCATGTGTCGAAGCCAGCAACGGCTTCCAGGATGATACTTTTTGTGCCTTTTCTATTTCCGTAATCACCTTGCCAGGCAGTTGGGCAATTCTTCCATTGCCAATGCATGCAGTCGATGCTACCAATCATTCCTGGAAATCCTCGAGTTTCGGCTTTTTGTAGAAGCCGTTAGAGGTCCCTGGGAGTAGGTCTACGCAGGTAGTCCCTAACGTACAGATTTTCAACTGCATCACAAAATCTTACCAAAGCCTCCAACGTAGTGGACTTCCCTATTCGACATACCTCATCCACCTGATCAGCAGATGCTCCATACGCCAACATTCGTATAACAGCTGTAAGCTTTTGCTCCGGAAGAAGGCCCAAAACCCCAGTAGCATCACACTTTTGAACAAAGTATGCATCATAATTGCAAATATCATACATGACTTTATTGAACAAATGGGGTTGCATTCTAAATCGCCTTCGAAAATCAACATCAGAGTACAAAGTAGTTGGGATAAAATAATCTTCCAAAAGATTCTTACCCCGAGAATGCCTATGTCTGTCCACATTCCGGCGACGGCCGACTTGTGAACCACAGCGGCGACCTTGGTTCTCTTCCTCTTCCATTGCCACTGCTATGAGAACTTGTTCATCAACTTGCCTCTGCAACTTATTGATTTCATCGGCTCTACGGTTTCTCTCCTTTTTTTCTTGCCTCTCCAAGCATCTCCTATATTCTTCCATTGAGAATGAATGGAGTATGAATTCTAAACTCTAAGAAATGAAAATATTGAAAGATGTGGTGTGAGAGGTACGAGGTGAGCCTCTAGTTTTATAGAAAAATTTGGCAAGATAGAGATGCCACGTGGCTTGATTTGATTGGATGAAAATCTTATCTGAAATTTGAACCCAAATTTATCTAAAATTTGAATTTTGAAATTCATCCGAAATTTGAACCCAAATTTATCTGAATTTTGAATTTTGAAATTCATCTGAAATTTGAATTTTGAAATTCCTTCGAAATTTGAACCCAAAAATTTATCTGAAATTTGAATTTTGAAATTCATCCGAAATTTGAACCCAAAAATCTTATCCCGAAATTTTATCCGTTTATGAATAGTCTTGACACGTAGAAACCCGTAAATCTTATCCGAAAATATTACCCAAATTAATTATTGAAGTAAAAAAAGTTGTGAATAAAATAAAAAAATAAATAGTAACTGCCCTTAGTAAGGGCAACGGGTGGAAACACAAAATTCTGATTTGCAAGGGCAACCACTATTTACGTGAATAGTACTGTCATAACTTCTCTCTTACAATGGCTAAGGACAAATGAGTGTCTTATTCATTCTCCTTTTTAATAGTCAAGCCGTTTCCCTGTCAACACTCAGGTTTCCTACCTTTCCATACCAAAATTTAATATAAACAATGAAAAAATATAAAATAATTGTTGCCTTCTCAAATTATTGTATGGGTGGGATCTTGACTTGGAACAGAGCCCAAAGTCCCCACCACCA